TTTTTTTTTTTTTTTTATATATTGCGCACTTGATGGGTTCGATTGAAGAGGAGTGAAGTGGCAATGCTAGGAGACGCATGTGAATCCTGCTTGCTTACAAGAGCTTGAATTTAACGAGAAAACATCGGCACCGATAGGAAGATCCGTTCGTCGATTACTTTCTGCACTTAAAGCGAGACAGTCTCAACGAGAAAACTTCGCGTAGGAGAGAAAGAGAGAGAAACGAAATGGAGGCGCAGGGAAGACGAGTGCAGAGATGTGATGACGCGGACAAGCTAGGACCTGTTTTCGCCGAATTACGAATGTCAGAGTCTCGTCTCGAATTCAAGATTGAGTTCTCGAAGTTTCTGCGGGAATTTTTCGATCCGCATATCGTTCATCGCTTCGTTCACTGTTAACTCTGTCGGAGTCGAGCGCACAGATCGACGGATCGATCTGTGCGGCGTCATGTCGGCGGCGGCAGCGGCGATGGTGGCAACGACAAGCGATTGCCACGAGAACCAACTTCCGACTGCGTGTCGCTCGCTTGAACTTTCAATGCTTCTCTGCCCGTTCTCTTTCTTTCTTCCTGGCGCACCGAGGATATACGACCGATGTCGTTTGAATTGCAAAAACATGGATGTGTCACAATACGATTCTTAGGGATTCTCATCGTATTGAAATTGTCGCAATCTCATGCGAGCAATCTCTCACATAAGAGATACATAAGTGAGGTGATCGACCAATAAGACCTACGTCGATCTACCGGCGAGGTGGAAGAAACGGGTCGCCGGAGCGGAGCAAGGCATGCGGTTACCAAGGAGAGACCGCGGTGCCGCGTTCCTGTTCCTTTATTGCATCTGCGAATGATGGCAATGTCCTCGTTTTCTCGTGACATTGTCCTGTCAACCGAAAAATACGAGGAAACGCGCACGGCGAGGGTGTGGTTCGTTGGGGGATCGCGAGACACGGATTCGGATCGGTCTTCGTGGCAAAAGATAAAACCATCGCTACCGCCACCACATCGTCACGACCGCCGACACTGTCGTCGCCGTGCGACGGAGTCCCATCCCGAGTCGAATCGAGTCGGAACCGGTCGGGCCGGGCCGGGCCGGGTCGGGTCCTCCCGAATCAGAAAATTAATTTTTACTCACCGTCGTTGAACTTTTCATCTAGGTAAACCTCCGCAGCGGCAACGGCAAATGCCACGAGTACAACGAATGCGCAGGAGGACCGCATTTTCGGACGCCGATAGGACGTGAGTCCGAAGAAGCCGACGACGAAAAAGCACTCTCCGCCACGACGAACTGGCCGATAATGCCCGTTTCGCCGACGTGGTTGGTGAGTTTAGCGGCCGTCAGAGTAGACAGATGGAGGGCACGGATTGGCGGAGGCGCGCCAGCCAATCAGCACTGACCACGCTTAACCACGGCTGCGCCACACCGTGACAATCGTCAACGCCGTTGATCATGCCGCGTTTCACATAACCTACTACGTCACGCCGATTATCACAATCGCTTATCCATCGTCGATACGACAGCATAGACAACAAGAACCGGAAATACTGAACTACATCTTCGAGTGTAAGATTCGCGTAAATTTTTTCTTGAAAAACTTGCAATCTTTTTTTTTAATTGTTAATATTAGTCATTTGGTCTTAAATCAAATATATACATAAAGTCTAATTAGCATACGAAATAAAATTCAATTACTCTATATTTTTTTTAATTCTAACCAAAATATATTATCTCCGATGTGTTAAATCTTTATCGATATGGAAATAATCGTTAAATACAGCCTTTAATATTTTATGAAACACAGAGATAAAACAGAACTAAAACGTTCTACACCCATGTCAATAAATATTTAAGTTTTTCATGAAAATATAATTGGACGATCGTTATCAAAATTTCAGTCGCATTTCGGAAGCGCGATAAATATCTATGAATCTTTCTATAAATATGCAGATACATACCATATATATCAGATTTAATGAGCCTAATGGTTCTCGATATCAAGTCATCGATATCAAGTGCGATGTATACAACGCTGTTTCCTCGGCAACAAAAAAGCAAACTTGACATGGCGAGAATGAATAGAATTACTGTGATTCACAAAATTAAAGTACTTGTTTCTCGTTGCCTTCTAAATAATTGAAATTTACTAGTGATACATGCACAAAATCGAGCAGAGAACTTGTCATCTAAATTTAGCAACTGAACACTCAGACTTAAAAAGAGAAAAAGAAAATGCTCTCTTCGAAAGCAAACGCGGCGCTGGCGCGCCTGAAAGAGATTGAAGAAAAGTACAAGAGACGCAAGGAACAAAAATGGAGAGAAGTAAATATTCTTAAGAAAAAAGAACCTACAGAAATTTATAAAATAAATTTTCCAATATTAAAAAATTGTTATATTAAAATTACGATATTTAAAAAAAATCGAATATTTTTAGATAAGTTGCTGATAATGAAATATAGTTGCTTTATTTTTGTAATATACATTATATATTTTTTATTTTATGTATATCAAATTTGTCATTTTTTATCTTGATATTAATATATAATATTAATTAAATATATTATATATTATATATACATAAAGTCTAATTAGCATACGAAATAAATTCAATTACTCTATATTTTTTTAATCTAACCAAAATATATTATCTCCGATGTGTTAAATCTTTATCGATATGGAAATAATCGTTAAATACAGCCTTTAATATTTTATGAAACACAGAGATTTAGAGATATTAATATAATAATTTTACAAAAAATGTTAATTTAAATTCTTTTCTAGAGAATAGTGATAGGTAATATTAATATTAATACTAATATTAATATTTTATAATTCTCATTTAGGACGCGGATAGCTCAATAAGTAGCATTTCGATAGCTCTTTCGGAAAACCTCTCAGGAGAATCAAAGGAATTCCCAAAGAAAGTCGGAAAGATCAAGCTTGACATAAAAATGCCAGATACTCGATTTGAAAGACACGCAGAGGAAATGAAACTTTCGTTGAAAAGTGAGAAATCGACGGACAAAGCGAGCACAAAATCTTTCGAAGACGCTGCCGAGGTCGATCTTGATGCCACAATGTCATTAGATGATAAATCGTCACGTTTCGCAAAAAAGCAAGAAAGTCCTATCTCGGACATAATGATAATTCAGGAGAACAACTCGATCGAAAGCGTGCTCGATGACTCGGTGACAACGTCGAAATCACTCTCACATTCGAAAACATCGCGGCGAAACGATTCCATAGCCTCCGGATGTGAAGAGAAGACAACAGTGAGGTCCAAGAGAGAAAAGGAATCTGACAAATCATCCGAAATTTCAAGAGGAAAAGCGACATCTCATAATTTGTCTATCGCGAAGCGATTGAGTTTATCTAGGAAACAGAATGAAATTTCTAAAGCGCGTCTCGATTTGCGAAAGCATTCAATCGAAGATAAAACGATCGCTAGAACGATGAAAAATACAAACTTTGCAATTCAAAATCGTTCAAATAGTTCGGAATCTTTGCACAACAGTAGCGTTATCGAAGAGTCGATCCGCATGATGGAGAACAGCAGTGAAATTATTTCGGAACTTTCTTACTCCGAAAAAAACATGGCTAAAATTGATGATGTTGAGTGTTCTAAACATTTAACAGCAGAGAACACTTTTGCGTCGGTTTCAACTAGTTCAAAACGTCTGATAACTGAAAACGGATATGCAAATGACACCTTCGAGGACATTTCGAGCTCGACCATTCGATCGAAATCAAGATCACAACGCGAGGAAATAATTAATGAGAAGAAAAATGTGATTAATAGAGTGAGATCTAATGCAAAGAAAATCAATATTAAAGAATATCAGGACAGTGCTGAAACTTACAGGTAGTTTAATATTGTTATTAATTATTTAGCATATATATATATTTTAATATCTTTTCTAAATAAATATATGTTTTATCTTGAAGTATGTGATTGTATATGTATACATTTATGAACTTTATTGTTTTAGTAATAGTAAGATAATAAGTCATGTCCATTTATTGATTCTCGAAACGTGTGTAGAAATGTTAATATACTGAAAGAAAAAATAATATAATTATCATAGTTTAATTAATTATAATGTATGTATAGTTATTTTTGAAGATAACTATATTTTTTATAACTAACTAATTGTCTTAATGATGCAAATTATAATTGACTTAACATTGTGATCACAGCGCTATAAAAACATATAATTTATAGTATATAGTAATTTATAATATATAGTATATAGTATTTATATTATATAATTTTATATAATTTTTATATAAGTAACAAGTCCATAATATTTCTAATATTATAAAAGTAACAACAATAGAAAAGGGCATCAATACTATATATAAATATTTTTCTGTAGCGTTTTAACTTAATGAAGGGAAAAGCATTTCAAGACATTTACCGTGATCATTATCAATGATTTATTATCACAAATATAAATACAAAGTGTTGATGTTCTCATAATCACAAAACCTTTATCAATGTGAAAATGATTTTGCACAATGTTCGGTTGTAGAGATGAACGAATCATTGAACTTGATCTGACATTGAAACCAAATGCAACCAAGGTCGGTTCGAAATCGTCAAACTATGTCAGCGACGTCGAAAACATCATCGCGCATCCAGATAATATGACCGAGTACTCGATAAAATTGCCAAAATCTGTCAGTTCGCGCTTGAGAAATCAGAGAAGTTATCAACATCGAAAAAAGTCGTTTCGAGATGAGAACACTTCAAGCGGTAAAACAAATAAAGTGTTATAAATAAAAATTGATGGCAGTGCCAGAATTGGACTTACTCCAACAGGATGTCAGAACATTAGGAAATCTGATTTAAAATAGAATTTCGCGTGAAAATTGTCTGTGACAATATTAAATAAGAGTAATAAGTATAATAATTAATGAAATATAATTTATAACTTACTATTTACGCGTATTTATTAAATGCTATATTAGATTATGATAAAACTTTTTACTTCTAAATTTTCAATTAAATTTTTCAATTAAATTTTTTAAATTATACGCCATTAAAATACTCCAATCGTCACAAATAATAACATTAATTATTCTATAAATTTTTGAGCTTCTTTTTACTTTAAAATTTTTTTAATTAAAAAATTCTATTATATTAAATTCTATTATATTATAATAAATAATTTTAATATTTTATTTTAAATTTTAAAGTGCAATCGGTCTAACAAATCTTTCAGCCGCAAGTTCCAATAAAAACATATCGGATTCTTCGAAGTCGTCGACTGGCGACATGACGAAGACAAACGAGAAGAAAAACTTCTCGAGGATGACTACTGTCCAACAAGAAAGCAACCGGAAAGAGCGCGAGGAAGCATCGAACAAAATGAATGAATACTCGGTAATAGATGTCATCAGATTGCCGGTTGCTGCAGACGATGAGGATAGACTTAAATCGGCGAAATTTAATTCATTATTAAAGAAGAGTGAAAAAGGAAATGAGAATATTTCTGAAGAGAGTTTGGATCATCGGATTTTACAGGATGCTGAATATGTGCTGAGAAAATTGCACAAAGATGCAATCAACGCGTTAGCCAAGAGACACGCGAACTCGAAAAGCGTAACAGAAGTGTTGGAAAGCCCTTCTGGCAGTAAAACTGAGTCTGAAATCCGGAGTGCATCGAAAACGAGAAAAATGACGGCAAGAGACGAGAATGAAAGTTACTACTCTACAGAGAAAGATAGGATAGTAAGTATCAACGCGTATCAGTTGGGATATTTTTTTCAATCTAATCCTGCAAAAACATTTTTCTTTTTATTCAATAGTTATTAAATTAATGTGAATTTCCTTTGAATAGAAATTTTCTAAAATTATTTTTTATTTGAATATTTTATTTCGAAATCATACTCTTTGTAATTGAAAATGAATACTAGATCTAATTTAGAAATAATACATAAAAAAATATTTTCATATTCATTGCCTTGAAAATTAATATTTAAATCAATGTAATCAGCAATGCTCTGAAGATTACAATGCAATGAAGAATTATGCAATTATTATATAATATATTTTGGCGAAAAAATTCACTATTTTCTTACCTTTAATTACGTTTTCAGTCTAATTGTAATGATTGTGAACAAAATAACGTAAGGAAAAAGAAAAGAGAGAAAATAATGAATATAAAATCAGCCGAAACTCGTAATAGCACTAGAGATAACGAAGATAAGGCTTTGAAGTTTGACAGGAAACAAACGCTTAGACTTCGGAAGCGGTTTGTCGAACTGCGACTGCAGCAAGAACGAGAAGACCTCCAAAAATATCTACGTGAACTGAAGGACTCAAGACTAGAATCGGGTTTTACTCAAAGCTATTTCAGGCCTCTGGATTTCCCGAAGATTGCAGAATTTACGCAGCCTGGTAATTTATAAATTGATACAAAGATATTTTTGAACAATTTATTTTTATAAATATATATTAAGTTTATTTTACTGAACATACATTAAACATTGTATGTTCTTATCAATTGTTACAACATTAATTATCGTATATCGTTTATATTTAATTTTAATAAAAATTCCTCGTATTTTATTTGCGATATTAGCAATAATTATCTTTAATTAAAAACCCTTTTGTCCGCATTCTATTTCGTACATTTTTCTTTTTCAATTCATTATGCGACTTACATCATTTTATTGAATGTACCTGAAGTCGTAAGTTGTACTGCAGCGAATACGCAGACAATTGTGATTCTAGCATTGAATGGAAGGAATCCACATTGTATCGAAACAATAAGAACATAGACCGATGACAGAGCCAACAGTATAGAGCTATATGATGAATGAATTAAATTCATTTTATATTTAAATGAACGCATTCAAATGTATTTGAAATATCTTTTCAAATATATTCTCTGCATATGTAGATGATATTTTCAGTTTATTCATACATTGTCTTGATAACGCAAAATATCTTTTTACCAGATGTAAGCGATTTCGATTCGAAGCCGGATGATCAGCATGTCGTACTCCGGGAGAGAATTTTGGCAATCAGACGTTGGTTGAAAGATCAATATGTCTTGTATCGTGACTACTGTACTATGGCGCAAGCGATCAATGCCCACTATGTTCCCACAACATTGGAGGATGCCAAAAAGGTTGGTGTTTTTTTTTTGAGCTCGATGTTATTTATCACTTGTCAAATAAGAATTATTAAAGAACTTTGCTAGTTATATAACACTATTGTGTTTAACAGTAATATGAGGTGCCAATGCAAACGCAAAGTTCAAGAAGAGAGAATAATTATAATTCATATAATTCATATAATTTTAAAATCGAGCGTATCGCTATCGTGTCGAAAGAATTCTTTTAATCGTGCCATTTTTTTTATAAACAGAACAGCGATTCTTTTTTATCTACAGAATGCTACAATAAAAGGCACGTGTTATTGAGTTTTATTGAAAATATGATGTGTCATACAAAATATGATAGAACTTCATTAAAAATTTTTCCCTTGAATGGAATAAATCTTGAATCGCCGTACACCTCATAAATCGATGCAACGTATAAAATAGCCTATGCGTAGGATAATAAGAGTATTGCATATTCTTTGACGTAATAATGTTTAAAATAGCGTAATGACGTATACAAGAAAGCTACGTCACGATGTTGGCTCAACTGCTTTTTGCACTATTGATTTTGTGTAATACGGTTGAAGGAAGAACAGTCGGGGAAATTTTTTTACAAGCCTAGGAAATGCATAGGCTATGCCTGTGTATGTTAGCAGATAAATAGATGAAAGAGTACGTTGTGATGAGGGACAATAAGGACGTAATAAGAACCGAATAAGGAAATGCTTAATGAATGCTTAACAGTGCGAATGAGTAACCGCAAACTCGCAAATTATCGAGGAAGCTTTTTACCCGTGTTCGGATAGGTTCTTGAACGAAAGTCTCTCATACAGAGATAAATTTTTTTGCTTGCAGACGATACACGAGCTTAGAAAAACGACGATTGAAAGGTGACGTCGATGTGCCCACCTGAGACGCGTAGTTAGACCGCACGCGACTCGTTGAAGCTATTTATGACAGGTGTCAGATTTACATACTTAGAAATCGTGAGTAATAGAAATTTACTAATTATTTTTTATTAAGCTGCGATTATTTTGCACGTGTTTCTTTTGTATAACATGGAAAATCATGTAACACGAATTACATAATTATTGTTAAGTTTTTCCTGCATTGCCCAATAAGCATTAGCTTTTTCACATTATATCAATCGCGAAATAAATGTGCATACTTAAGAAACATATGCTGTATAACTTTAACGCAATTTTACTTGAGGCTGGAAATATTTTCTTTTTTTAATTAGCCTTTTTACGCGATAGGATCCATATCTGATAGCAGTTTTCTTAATGAAATCAAAACTATGGTTTCTCCTTTATGCAATTACTAAGCTGTGCAATATATTCGCGCTTCCGGCGTGTTGTACGAGTATGTTGTGAAATTTTGTGAAAATCATTCGCACATTGCTCATTCCTATATGAATTACAGAATGAAATAAAATTGCGACACAAAAAGAAAAACAAGGAGAAGAACAAAGATTAAAAGACTAAAAAAGATTAAAAGACAGAATAGATAATGCGTTTCAAGTATGAGTAACTTCATATCATCTTTTTAAAAATTCTATTTGAGAATTCACTTGTTTATTTGATCTTTTTATTTGATCTTATTTAATTTTTACTTTTGCGAAAACTTAAACTATATAATTCTCAAGTATATTTGATTAATTCTAAAAATGGTCAAGTGATCATTTTTGACTGTTTTTATTTTTTTAATTAATATTTTTTCTGGTATTAAAGATAAAATTTTAAAAGTTTCTAACTTGAATATCCCATTAGAATAAAAAAAATGTTAATGAAAGTTAATGAAAATAATGAAAGTTAGAAAATTTCAAAATTGTATCTTTAACGTGAGAAAAAAGTATTAATTTAAAAATAAAAATGGTCAGAAATAGTTACTCAGTATTTTTACTCACAGTCAGTATGTTAAAATCACATTGTTATTAAAATCAAACTAAATATAATCATATTGAAATATATGATACTTAATATTTAAAAAAAAGATACAAAAATTATTTTACAGTAAAGTTATTTATTTAATTTTTTTATTATAATTATTTTCTGTTTTGAAATAATATATTAATTTGAAGAGGATCCAAAAATAGGATTAAAACAGGGTGGGTTCACATTTAAATTGTTATTAAATAAATTTTAACACATTTATATCTAGTGCTGGATCTTATTTGGCTTTTTTGTAATTTTTTGCTATAAATTTTGACCTTTTTTGAGAAGAGAGAAAAATGTACATATATATATATGTGTATATGTACATTTTGTCTTCTCCGGTCTTCAAAAGGATGGTTACGAAATATGCTGAATACATTAATAAATAAGCAAATCTCCGGTAAACCAGTATTCTAAAGTAATAACAGGTTAAAAATGCGTATGTTAAAATAATAATAATTGAAGTAGGCAGATGACACTTTGTTTCCGTACTAATATTCAGCAAACTTCACGCTGCGCGTGTCTGTGCGAAGGTGCGCAGCAGCCGTCCGGCGGCGGTCAAGTGGAGGAGGGGGAGGTGGCACGGAGAGCGCACTTTCATTGACGCGACGTTTCTCCCGTGCAGTCTCGTAGCGGCTCTGCAACAGTTGAGACGTGATCGGCCATCCCTACTCGAGCAGGCTCGAGCCTCCGACCGTGATCCCAGAGTTGAACGCTCACCCCTGTGCTTCGCGTGCGGCCTTCCGCGTTTGAGTGGTGTGGTTGTAACTCTTTACATCGGCGGCGGCAGCGGCAGCGGTCGCGGAAAGCAGCAGGAGCGAGGGACTGAACGCCAGGGAGCGCCGGCTCTTCCGGTAAGTTGGTCGATTTGCGATAATTGGATGGGTGGGTGAAGTCGGAGTACGCGGAGGGTGAGTCAGAGCATCGGGGTATTTGACAATAGGTCGACGAACGCGGAGATGATTTTGCGTAGGTGAGATCCTTTTTCAATCCGAAATTTTACCGACATTAATATTTATTTTTAAAATTGTTTAAGGTTTGTAGATTGACTTTAATCTGAATTTAATTTATTTTTTACTTCAGAACTAAAAAAATGTAGAAGAAAGGAGAAGAACTAAAAAGTAAATTAAACCAATATTAAAATTAATCTGCATTGATAGAAATGGACATAAAGATGTTCGATAAGGTAAAATTTTTAATTTCATTTCAATTTTTAGATAAATTGAAATGAATTATTTCATTTATTTAAAATTATTTCACTGAGTGATGTTATATTCGAAGTCTATTAAAATTTTGTCCGAGATTGATTAATGAAATTGAGTAATATCCATTTCTACCAATATAGATTAATTTTACTCTTGATTTAATTTATTCTGTTTATCTTTTTCTAATTTTTAAAACTATAAAAAAAATGAAAAAGGATATTAAACCGAAATTAAAATTAATATTAGAAATAGACATAAGATGAACATTAGTAAATCTGGGATCTAACATGTTTATTTGCTTTATTAAGTGTGATTCGCCAAAATTCCTATATTTTAAGTTGTTTGTTTTTAAGTTGTTTGTATATAAAACTGTGCATACATTGATATCAAGTTGTTAAAAAATTATCATATTTTTGATAGCGCCAGGCACTATTAAGAATCCTGTACGTGTAATGATCAGAGAAGCAAGGATATTAACAAGGAATTATTAACAACTAGGCAAACTTGAAAGGGAATTTTTAATTAATTTACAGTTTGATTCATCCACGCCCTCCGTCATTCACCCGCCATGTATTAAAGCGTAGAGTGGATGTATAACGAAGTCGAATCCCACGATTATAACTTTCTTTGCGTAGGTCTCGTAAGACTTTTATTGAGATTACAATGTTGATTGAAGTACAATGATATGAAAAGCGGCGTGAATATATACGTTGATTTTATGGAAATTCGCACGACTACTTGAATGTTAAAGAGCGAACTCCAATTAGCGTGATGCTCGCTGATGAAATTTTCTATTGATCAAAGTCGAGGAGTGTAAATGCGATCAAAGGAGAAGGAAGAAGATTCGTAATAATGGATGAGTTGCAAATGTACAGGATTAATCACGCGTGAGAAAAGTCTTAAACATTTAAACGTTTAAATATAATGGGGAAAAGCTATTCATTGTTATTTTCATAATCGATATGATTTAATGTTTCCCATTTTTTTTTTTGTATCTTTAAACATGTGCAAAGGAGAAAATAGTCAAGGCCATAACATTTAAGAGTTAAATAAGATCTCATAAATGCTAGAATAGTATAATGAGATTGTCGAAAGAATCCATATAATTTTTATAATTTTATTAAAATTCGGGATTATAAATGCTTTGATGTAATTAGATAACTGAATCGTTTTTATCATGATACATTGTTCGACAAACATTGTTAAAAAATCATATTGTCAATGCACAGTCGGATAAATATATAAGTTAAATAATAATATTGTAAAAATCACTTTCGCATCTGCAGTTGTTATATATGAACCGTGTCGAAATTTTAATATCTTTTCATAGACATAATTTTCAGTGAAAGCGTGATGAACGTAGGTTTCACAGAATCGGAGCATTCTCGTTTAGAACCACAACTGTAGTCGCACTGTCGACGATTGTCTCACACAGGGATATCTATCCTTGAACAAGCGAATCAAGGCTGATGGCACTCACGAGATATATGCGTTATTCGATGCTTGCGCGATTTGTCAAACGCTCCGAGGCCGACGTGACATCGATCATAGAGAGGTTTAAAATCGCACTATATACAGCCGTTTTCTAATATCCGTTTCTACAGAAACGGCGACCCTAATGCAATGCCTTTCTCCGCGAATCTTGAAGAACGTCAATCCAAGTTCAAGATTGATTCACGGTGCCTATAAATTTCTTTAATATATTTTACACACGATTACACACGATTAATTCTACTTATATTTCATTTAAGTAACAAAACAATAGGATGTAAAGTTTAAAGTTTATTTCAAGGATTATAATACTTGGAATAAAAAATTGTGTGTATAAATATTAATTTACTTAGTTAATTCGTACTTAGTTAATTCGTTTTTATTTTAAAATTATAGTTGTTTCCTATTTCTCTCTTGTAACATTTTTAAAAAAATTTATTTTATTCATCTTTTCTTTTAAATAATTATTTCTCATGATCTCAAATAGCTGTGAACTTTTATCTAAAAACTCATCGCTAAATTTACTGGCGCGCCAGCACCATTGATCTAAGAAACGCTAATCCGATCTCTATGGATCCCTATTGTCCATTGATTTATTTCGAAAGAGCAAAAAATGATTGTCGGAATGCCTTTTACTAAAAGATTAACGTTAATCAACGCTAATCTTACTTAATTCACGTACTTAATTCATGTTTAATACAATTAGATGGCAATGATATAATGCTAATTTTAATTGGGGATAATAAATCAACGTTAATTTAACATTGTCATTAATTGGAAATCAATATTTTATGATCGAACATTCAAATATCAAATAAAAAAAATAATAATTGGAAATGTAGCATTAATTAACAAACAATTTTATGCGAAAAATTATAATTCCTAATTTTATTTGTTATATTGATACACATACATACATACATATTTAATTATTAACAATAAACAAATTTATGTTTATCGCATAACAGGCTATTTGGTATACATAGGTCATGTTAAATTAATATTGATTTTTTTAATCGTAATTAATGATTATTGCAACGAAATCCATTCGCAAGCATCCAATGCGTTTGCATACGGAAAGTTGGTTCAAACGTGAGATTATTTTTATTTTCTTGACGTTTCTATATGATACACGTGGCACTTTAGAAAAACAAACTGCGACGCATCGGTCATTTTTATCGCGTGTCTATTTTATCGAATGTCGTTGCAGCTAGCCAGATTCATTGACCCCGTAATAATGAATGCCCTTTCGCGAAAGGTTGAGTCAGAGGTAAAATTCAGCCGCGTATTATTAGCCGTCGTTACTCCTCGCGATATCGCTAATTACCGAGACGCCTTTGTCCGTCGCGACAATCGATCGTTTGGTACTTCCTTGACCTTCAATAAACACACCCCCTGGAGGGTCTCTATAGAGGGTCGTCATGTAAAAGAAAAAACAGCGACGTTTTTATTTGCGCCGTATCCTCGACCCTTTGCCGCAACGTCTCATCGATCGATGCATACGATGTATTTATAAACGTGTTCCTGAATGAAATTGAGGAAATACACCGTATGATAATTATGATGTAAGTTTATACGTTCGCCCACGTCTATTTAGAACTATTTTCTCTTTAAAAACATGCGATTGTTACGTTATTCCGCCTTATTTTTAGGGACGCAGGTACGATAGGTCTCCTGAATAACATATAAGATTCATTAAAAAATAGCGTTGCGTATAATTCAATTATAGGTCAAAGTACCTATGTACTTATAATTTTTATTGTAAAATATGTATGTAAAAATATGTCCTTGCGTTTTGATCGTGACACGAAGCAGCGTT